CAATTTGGGATTTAAAATAAACCGGTGATTTGGGATAACATATAATTATCCCAAGTGGCGACTCTCAATTAAATAAATAATCTCATTTGATTAATGTCACTTTAATTAGAAAAACTCTCTATCCCCTCGAAAAAGGGAGGTGTGACATTTGGTATCCGAAACCAATAAAATTCAATGCAACTAACACCAAACCCTAACCCTAGCTAAATTCAAACCATAACTCATACTATAAATAGAAGGAAAACTAACACCATTAATTTCGACAATTCAAACCAAAACAGATAGTATGGCCAAAAATATATATCTTTTCACAGACAGGATTATTTAGGCTAACTAAATTGGAGGATTCATTAGGCTATATCTCATATCATTAGGAAAATTGCTACTTAGGATTCAAATTTAGGATGAAAAGAGACGGAATTAGAATTAAAACACTATTTAATTAGCACTCAAACGATATGATACAACGCTGTCAAAATTGTACGAAGAAAAATTGGGAAAATTAACATTCATTACCATTTTTGATCAGGAGGGTGTTTGAAATATTTTTTTGGATTGGGTTAGCTCCATATATATAGTCTAATACTCTTATATACTCAAACACTAATGACCTAAAAAACACTCACCTACAAACCCTAACTATGGACGCATCTCCCTCTACCAAACGAGCCCTAACTTACTCTTCTGCTAGTGATGATGAAGAAGAGAATCATCCAACATTTGAAGTGGTTATGACTGATTCATGCATCAACTACGACGATCTGGTTATGTATCAGTATTGTATATATATTTTTTCATGTTTCAGCTTTATATTTTCCAAAAATTTAATAGTATTATTTTTTTTCCTTTTTCAGTATATTCCAAGAAAAATTTACCAACATCCTCCTCCAACAGTTGAAATCGTGCTTCTTCATTATCGTGGCAAAGAGTGGTTTGTATCTATGAGTGTTGGTGATCGAAGAAGGTTTAAAGAAGGCTAGAAACTTTTTATTTTGGACAATCATGTCAAGCAAGGTTTCGTTGTCAAATTTACGTTGGTTGATGTTGCACCACTATATGCTGACTTCAATGTTCAAGTGAAGGGAGAAGGAACTTTTGATCATAATCCGGTTGAAATTGATTAGTTTTTAGGATGTGTTTTGTGTTTTTCTATTCCTTTATTATCTTTTATTTTCATGTTGATTTATGCTAGTTGTGCTTTTGATTTTCTGTGGAACTATTGATGTTTTTAAATTTCATTTCATCATATTGGTCTTCTTTGCTTTAACAATTTTCATTTCTTCCATATGAAATCAATTTCAAAGACTTTTTACTTCTTTTTTTTAAAATCAATTCTTCAAGATGTAGACTTAAATCAATTCAACCTAATTCTACCTACACACTACTAAAATGGTTGAGAATAATAAATGTTTCATTGAGAAGCTAAATAGTTGGCATGTGAATAGTTATTACATGGGGATTCAAAAATTACAGTTATCAATATATTTTTGGTAACATAAATAATTAATACAATTGAACTAACGTCATTAATATTAGCACCTCTCGGATTCTTTTGGAATGGAGAAGAGAAAATTAGGAAAAATATTTCCTGGAAAAAAATGCCATAATAGAAAATTAGGAAAAACATTTACTGGAAAAACTATGTCCCAAAAATATTAGGAAAATCATATCCAAACTAGACATTCTCACTGGTTTGATGAAAAGTTCATGAATAGAATTTTGGGTAAACGAAATGGATGCATTGAAAAATGTAAAGGAGTTTAAAGTATTCATTGAAGATTGTGATTCAAATTAAAATAAGAGAGAAGGAAATATGAACACAATTAATAATCCGAAACCTTAACCCTAACCCTAAAGATATTCAAACCATACTATAAATACAACTACATTATTAATCTCATAATCCAAATTATCTACTCTAATTCAAAATTCTGTGAAAATAACAATGGAAAGAACCCATCAAACAAAACTGTCGATGAACCTCTTCATGGTTCACCCATTAACAACAACATCCTCTACCAGGATGTAAGAAACAAGTTGAAAAATCTGAATACTGAGACAAACCTATTGATGCTTAGGTTGACAAGGGAAATTGGAGCGGACTATGTGAAAAGACTTCTTGATTCATACCCTCTCACTTGTTGTTATGATATGCTTGAGGAAATGCTCGCTGAGTAGGATGAAGATAACGATACTCCGGCTATCATTATAAGCAGTGACACCTAAGTCACCTCTAAGGCATCAAAATATGTTAATCAAAAGATTAAGTAGAGTAAAAAGATTAGTTGTTTAAGTTATTTTGTTATGCATGCCATGTTTCTAGCATGGTATGCTAAAATTATCTTCCAAATATTATTTGGAATATGTTAAAAAGTATCAATCAATCAATGAAAATGCTTGTTTAGTATTTCTTCTGCTTCCTTTACTTTTGGTTCTTATTTTTGCTACATGTTTTATGCTTCCCCCTGGTTCCAAATATTATTGAGCCAAAAGAAATACCTTTTTTTGATGTATAAAATGGTCACTTAGCCTATCTATTATGAAGGAAAGAATATAAAAATTATCACTCTAATATTAAAAGAATAAATTAAGGAAGAATAGCTAGAAAAGAAAAACGAAACATGCTTCAAAGAAATTACTCGAATCATGAACTCGAACAGTGCCATGTAGATCCTTGGATGCATTTTTGTCCGTTTTAGCAATACCAAAAGAGAAATGAATCCTTCTCACACATATTCCTTATCTAAGTGAGAAACTAAAAGCAAATACTATATTTGTTTATTAAATAATTTAACATCCAAATACAGATTCACCATAAACACAAAGATACAAACATCTTAAGCTCACTTGAACGTAAGTTTTGTCAGAAATGAAACTCAAAAGCAAACCAACACAAAATGAACTAAATCATCAAGAAGTTAAACAAAATTCAGGAGTAACTATTAATTTAATTTGTATTTTTATGGCTCCTCTAATGATTGACTCACAATCATTTTAATTAAGATGAGGAGAGACAATAAACCTGTTAAAATGAAATTCCTTTGATCCGAGATGAAAATTTCAGTGGGTACAAGATTTGGCTCCAGAATCCAAGTGAGAAAACAACAACATAATAATTTAGGAAATGCAAATTAATACAAAATGTACAAAATGCAGATTATTTCCTTGGAATAATTTGCATGAAACAGGATCGAAATGCTAAAGAAGTCATAACATTCGAACTTCATAAATAATCATATCCAACTTCATACAGTACTCGATATTCAAAATGCAAAACAAAGACTTCATCTTTTGCACACCAAAGAAAAATAGCAAACACTTTTCTAATCTCTGATAAAATAAGAAATAAAATTGACTATTTTGCAATATTTTCTGACAGCTTTAACCCAATAAATATGCACGCTAACATAGCAGATGAAATAACACTTGCTGCATTTTCATTTGTTACAACTTCTTCACTTTCTTCAACGGCCAAGCTTGAAGATGACTCTTCCTGTGAACAACTTGTTTTTTGAAATTTGTTGAAGGCTTATAACGCTTCATCATAACATTGAAAGCTTGGAAGTAGCTACCCTCGACTCCAACAAGCATATTAACACACTCAGACCAACATTTGTATAATCCCGGCTTCTTACCACAAAATACAACAAAAATCATAGATTTGAGATTTTTTTACCTTCAATTGATTTTTCAAAATCGTTGAACGCCGATATGGCCGCATCGTGAGATTTGAAAGACTGCAAGATGCTATGCTTATCCCCGATAACCATAAGAGAACATTCACTCCATGAGTAGTATATCCCTGGCCTTTTACCAGAAAATGCAACATATATTTTTGAAGGATTATTCTTCTTCGAGATAACCATTATTGATTCCTTAATCTATTCACTCACACTTAGAAGAACATAGGAGTTTAAGAAAAGGTTTGTTTAAGTATAGCATTTTTGGCCATCTAGATTTGTTTAAATAGTAAGGCTTTGAAGACCTTACTATACAGAAGATATACGAAATACACAATCAAATATATGTATATAGATAAATAAATTCGAAATATACACGCGTATACTACAAAAAAAAAAGGATGAAAAAATACGTAAAATGACTTTTTTTAAAAATGGTTTATGGGAAAGATGGTTTGCATGCTTGAGTTCTTCCATGTATTGGGAAGACAAGTATTAAATGGGTGAGAAAATCATGGACCTAAACCCTAAACCTAACGGTAAGGGCATTTTCGGCATAAAGTTTGTCCAAAAACCCTAATTTGGGTGTGATTTTACTTTAATAACCCCATTTGGGTCAATATGGCTAAAAATGGTGTGGCCCAAAGGATTTTTCCTAAAATTAATATATGGTTTATAATCTAAACTTAAATATACAGTAGTTTGGATTCTGAAACTGGTTACATTATATTATCTGTTCCGTAAAAAAATGCATTCAGTTATTTTCTAGCTGAAATTTATAAGATAATACACATTACCAAGTACCAGCTGATTGTGAAACTGGTTTCTCTTCAGAAAGAAATAAAAAGGACAAGATTAAATTAAGTACAAAGGAAAAAATCCAAAGGCACGATGCCCAAAGAATGGTTCTGAAACAAGACCTCAGATTTTGTTATTGACTGGAGAATGCTCAACTCTCAATATAGTTGTGAAGTCTTAATTTGACTTAGTTGTAAAGCAACAAGATAGTTCGACTTAGAGAAAAGAATAACTCGAGCATTCAAGTACTACTATCATAATTTGGAGGACAAAGAAAAGTTCAACTTTGATTTTCAAGGCTAACTCTTCCTTAGTGAGGCACTCAATCTTAGACTCAGTTTACCAGGCTACCCTTCTTTCTGAATTTGCATATCAATAAGATCTCTGATAGCAAAGTGCGTAGAGTTCAAGTTTTATTCACTCAAGGTGCAATATATATTTATACAATTAAGTCCTAAAGTAATTATAGGCAAATCTCTATGATAACCTAATAACAGGTAACTAATCTGCTATAAAAGGTCAAACTACAAACTGTCAAATGTATTAAATCCAAGTGAATATTGACAGAGAATATGAAATGCTACAACTTTTTGCAGTCTTCTCAAAACAAGTGAGAAGGGCATCTTAGAATAGCCTTGAGTCCAAATAAAATAAGTGTTAGGTTATTTTCTTCCACATAAGCTGAAATAAGTGATTGACCTCCAAAAGATTAAAATACTAACTTCTAGAACAAACTTTAGATTATCTAACAGGGGAGGATGGCAATTCGGGCAAAACCTGTTTAAAGTAATTTCAAAGAAGCGGCTCCATCTAAGATGAATGCATTTATTCAGTAGTATTCGAGCATTCTAAACATGTTTCCTGCCAAAAGACTATTTACTTTAACACAAGTGGGATTACCATTTTGCAGTTGAACACAGGTTTGACATCGAAAGAAAGAAGAGCAATGTAGGCTCTCTTAACTGGCCAATCCAAATTCTACGAGAATTTGAATAACACTAACCGCATTGCATGTGGATATTCTTCCTTGCCACCTTCAATCTGCAAGTAATAGCTACAATAGAATCTCATTAATAAAATCAAGATGTGTCTCACTTTACAGCTAAGGTGGGTTTAATTCTACATACTGCACTAAATTGATGTAGCAGTAGACACCACCTGCAGTTCGTAAGACCTCTGGAAATCGCAATACAGGATTACGGGTACCTCTACTAATATAGAAGAGAACTCCCTTCCTTAACAAGCACAAAAATCCCTCCATCTCCTTTGGAGATCCGCAGATCCTTATCAAGGTATGTCGTGAGAAGCCAAGATTTTGTCCTTTCACCTGGAATTGGGATCTTGAGAGGAGGCTGACCAGAAATAGTACGTGCTATGCCTGCCACAGCATATTCCAGAGGACCTAGAGATTGCTGCATTGGAGAGAGACTTATCTTTTGCCCAAACACATCCACATTTTCTGGCAGCTCTATGTTTGATTTTATCTCTGGAGGTTTAAAATTCCCTTCCTTAAATTCAACCTGCAAAAGTAAGCAGTTGGCAGCCAAATGCGGAAGGAAAAATTTAAAATCTCCCAAAAATACTCTATGGAAGGTTATCAAGAAAAGAATCATGACCCTCTACAATTTCCTGATATCTTGCACAATTAATTCATAAGTTCCAACAACTTGACCGTTGGCTGAACTACTAACTCGTTTTCTTTCTCTTTGTCCATGATATTGCTGTTAGTAGCTTTCTAAAGAAATTAGATTATAGTCGAGATGGGTACCTGTATTCTAGAGGGGCTTCGAACTTCAAAAGTGGCAGTTGCACTAAAAGACAAGGTGGCTACGGGGCTTGATAATGCAGTCGAGTTCTCTATAGTAAAGTTGCTTGTATCTATGCCTTGGCTAATCTTTTCTACCTTCACCAGAGGAATGCTGCCCGCAGCAAGAAGAGGTAACAACTCAGAAAATGCTGTGAACCTGACACGTTGAGGAAGAAAAATGAGATTTATTTGCTGCAAAATACATCACTTAGCATTTACTTCAAATCACTTTCTGTGTGAAATTTCATAACAAAAGATTACATTGTTCAGTGTTAACATTAAGGTAAGATTGCATTTATCTCATTGAAATCAATATCAGCATCCAGTTAACACTTGGGAACTATTTACAAAATTACACTTTTCAGGTTAACAAAGATAAGTTAACTCTTGTCTGAATAATTGTACGAGGTGAAATTAGAGCACCACTCAAATAGTTGCACTGTTTTTGTTAGGCATTAGCAACTCATGCTAGCATAAAAAGGCATAAAGCTACAGAAGTTACAGAATGGAAGTTTCATGATAGAACATAATGTGGGAATCTGGAACGCCATTATATATAGTTATCTCTTGTCAGGATCTTTAAAGGATATTCATAATGAGTGTAGTATTTGTTGATAGGGATTTTCTCTATGGTTAAACAGTGAAAGGAACGATACAACACTCTGAAATCCATCCAATGTCAACAAGGCCTACTTAGAAAAAAGCAAAAATTCCTACAGGTGAGCTCAAATATTTACAGAAGACTGTCATAGAAGCTAGAAACAGAGGGCTGTTTGCAGACATTCGAAATGTGAATATGCCTAATGTCGATCATAATCTCTTGTCAGAATCCTGTACAAAAATTCATTTTGAGGGTTGTAATCGAGAAGACATCCATCCAATGTCAACAAGGCCTACGTAGAAAAAAAGCAAAAACTTCTACAGGTAAGCTCAAATATTTACAGAAGACTGTCATAGAAGCTAGAAGCAGAGGGCTGTTTGCAGACAATTCGAAATGTGAATATGCCTAATGTCGATCATAATCTCTTCTCAGAATCCTGTACAAAAATTCATTTTGAGGGTTGTAATCGAGAAGACTTTGTCCATGGTTTGACGATAAAAGTAATGGTGTGAGGTTTGAAAATCCATCAGAGATCAGCAAAGCCTACTTGGATAAAAGTAGTTCCTGGAGGTGAGCTCCAAAAGTTTACAGAAGATAGTGGTGGCAGTTAGAATACCAGGCTGTTCGTGGGACGATTTGAAATATGAATATGCCCGATAGACGGGCCTTTCGATAAGAGCTTGGAGAAATCTTCAAAAACATTTATGAATTAATAAACTTTGACTGATGCATAACAATTATCTGTTATAAAAAAACCATCAATATTTATACCCCAATGGATTTTTCTATTATACTATGTTATAGAAATAAAGTTTTAGAAAAGCATATCTTCAACCTTTTAGGTTTACTTCTGTGATACGTGAACTAAGACAGTAAATGTCAGTGGATCTTAAGATCACAGATCTAATCCTATAAATTGTTCTTCAAAACTATTACTGTCTATCACTATTTCCAAGCATTTTTACTTTCAGTACTTAGTACAACTCTATTTTCCAAGTAGAAGGAAATAATAACAAAAACAAATAGCAACAACCACCACCACTACATAATAGTTATAATAACAATGAAAACAAACAAATATACAGCTGAGATCCCCCTTTTATAGGAAGTTAGTCAAAGCACTTCCACCCTTGATAGTTTAAAGGAAGTTGATTAAAACGAGAAGAAAATTTGAAATTACAGACAGCTGTGTGTTTTTCTCCTTTTAGGAGGGTGGAGGGTATGAGGGGGCAGACTGCCATTTCCTACCAAAAACTTTGCTTCAAGGAAGCTCCAAAAAATGCAGTCATGACCATCTGTAAAGTAACAGTATAAGCAAGCAAATGAGATATTATGCGACCAATGCCCTAATGGTTAGGTCCTATACTATGGAGCTAATTACTCAGTACAATATGCTTTATGAGAAAGCAAAGTTTATTTTTTGGAGTGGAACTCTTTTTTCTAAAATGGACCTCACAAGGTGCTTATTTAAAGGCATATTTCATGTTCCCTCTTAAAAACTATGTTGATGCACCTATCCAGATTGTATACTGAACTCCCACCATAGAATTCTAACTTTCTTCTAGGCTGCTTTGGGTGCAAATGCCTACATTGCAGGTTAACTTCTGCCATGCACCTGGAATTGGGATACCGCCTAGGAGAGCAGCTTGCTCTGTGGTGTCCATGCTCAAGATAAGCATGCCACTATCGATTTGATCAACATCTTCTCCCTTAGAGATCAAATTGGCTACCGAAAACTATGAATTACCCTTTAATAGAAGCACTCATGAGACGAATATAAATTTGTTAGAAAATGTAATTTGCACTGTCACGTAAACCACTTTTTGCTGACAAAAAAAAAATCAAAACTCAGCTACTTTCATACTAAAAACGTAACAAATGGCGAAATCAAAGTAAAAAATGAACAAACAAGCAGTGAAGCAAAAAACTCACACTAAAATCCAATTCCCATCAAGCAACTCAGGACACTCAGTTGGTGCGGGAGTAGGATTTGCTGCCTCCAGCTGAGAAACGAGCTCCAAAGCCTCGGCCCGAATCTCGGATGAAGCCCGAAACCCGAAATCCGTCCCATAAACTGTATCCACAAAGCACCTTTTCAGTTCTAGAAGCTTCTCGTCTTCTCCACCACTCACATCTACAGCTGGACTGCCGTTATTACCCCACTCATCCTCGTATTTCGGAGGGTCCGAGTCCGTTAACTTCGTAACCGGCTCGGGTTCCGGCTCCGACTTCTCTCCCCATTCATCAACGGAGCCGGTCGTTTTATCGTCGGATTTATCATTTTCCGGTTCAATACCGGTCGCTTTTTCCGGGTCACTGGAGGATTGAACCGAGAAATTGGGAAATTTTCGAAGCTTAGGCTTTGAGAATGAAGAGGGAAGAAAAGTGTGAGCTTTAAGAGTGGTTTTGGGGGTTTTTATGGTGAAAATTAGAGGAGTGTAAAGAGTGGACATCATTTGATTGATTTTTGAAAATCAGCGTTCTCCGGTGGTTGTGGACGGTGCGATGATGGCGGCAGTGGTGGGTGTCGACGGTGGCTTTGAGACCGTGGAGGTGGATTTGGCACGTTGTATGAAGGGACACACGATATCTTTTTTATTACTCCTTCCGCTCCATTTTAATTGATTTTTTGTCATCCATAAAATTTATTTTTTTTGAATGTTAAAAGGAATTAACTTTTTTTTTTAAGTTATTCTTAAAGTAACGAGTATATGAGTAATTGCTATATTTTAAATAAATAAATTAAGATTAATAGTTAATTTTATTATTAATTAATACTAAAAGATATATTTTTTAATATGTGTAAAAAGAACCAAAAAATTAATTAAAGTAAAGTGGAGGGAGTAATTATTTTGACATTTGAGTCGTTGGATGGTTGCTAGAATTGATATTTTAACACATGGTTTTGAATTGTGGTCAATAATATTAAATTGAACATTTTTTCTTTTCGTTAATGTTTAATTGCACTTCGCTTCGAGTATGGTTCTATTTTGAGTAGGGGTGCTTATCGGACGAATCGGGTGGATAATTACGCTTAACGGTTCGGTGTATCGATTATCGGATTACAAATATGGTAATCCGCTAGCCATTCAATAAGACATCAGATGGATTGGTATCGGATTAACGGTTATCAGGCGGTTTATCGACTAAACCAAATAGAAATTTTTTGAACAATTCTAGTCTTGTGAATACCAAACGGCCAAACCTGATAAAGTAACTCGACTATAAGTTCCCTCCCCTTTTTAGTTTACCAGGCTTGTTAACATCTGTTGCTACATGATAGAATCTTTTAACACTTTGTAGTTTGCACTGCAGTTATTATAAGTATTTCTTTTGGCTGCATGGCTATCCTGTTTCATATCAAAAAAAGAGAAAGGAAAACTAGTCAAACTAACTGAAAACTTATATACAATCGGAATCCCTACACTTAAAAACTTGACTGAAAACTTGAAGGCATTTTCAGATTTATTTTCTGATAATATTCCTGTAACTTCTGTTGATCCCATATAAAAGTGTAAATATAAAAATTCTTAACGGGTTAACGGTTTATCCGATAAGAAAATTGAACAATCCGCCCCTAAACCGTTAAGCCGTTAATTATAAAATATCAATCTGTTTATCAACCATTACCTTGATAGCCCAATACCAATAAGCCATCGGTTCGGTTAACGGTTCGATTTTGAACTCCCCTAATTTTGAGATAAAAACAAAAGGGATAGTGAAATATATTTTATATAAGTCTAATTTACAACTGGTTTGTATGGGTCCAAATTTGGACATCCATGACCGTTGATAAGTACGACAAACAACGAGATACTCGTAACTCGACATTCTGCAGTGGACAACCTACATGCGAACAAGAAACTGTACGACTTTTGCAGCAGTGTAGGCCCATTAGGGGACAATAGGAATATTCTTTCGAATATTCCCTATGACTTGTCTTTTAGGGCTTAGAAGGGGTTTGTCCCTTATATATATAGTGTAAAACAACCTTGTAAGCTCTCTGGGCATTTTCCTAACTTATAACACTTGCTATAACACTTGCTTACATAAACGATTGATGTCATTATTGTTTAAGGGTTCGTCTTGACAAGATAAAGAAATCTTATCCTCTGTATTCTCCTTGTATATCTTTGTTCTAGAGATTATTATACTTAGTTAAGATTTACCCCTTCATTTTCTTTGATTGATTTATTCAAAAATGTTTCGATATCTTTTGAGTCAAACAATTTGGCGTCGTCCGTGGGGATTTCTATGAGATCTTAGTTTCGTCTAGATCCTTGAAAGAAATAATCATCTCTTCTTAGCCTCACAAAGGACAACAATGGCAGGAAAGAGAGAGAAGCAAGATTAAAGGCAATAGTAGGTGTCACGAACAACTTCCTGAAATTCCCTTAATGAAGCNCAAACCCGTTCAAAGGGATATCGAAGGCACAATACCCGTAGAAACCGCAACTGTCGCCGATGAGCCAGAAACTCCACGAAAGGTAACACTCATATTGTCATTGATTCAGGTAACGATGCACTTGTGGCCATCTTAAAGAAAATGGAAGAGATGTAAAATAAGAACAAAACACTCCGCGATCAGATGAAAGAGCATCATGAAAGGGTTGATAAAATACCGGGCATTCCGAAGTTGCTACCAAAACGTGATGTGGGCTGATTCGTCGAACAGCCATAAAGTAAAGGGGTGGCTCCCTACTCTATTCTGAAAACCTTCAAAATGCCGCCATATTTAAAATTATAAGATGGCACCACGGACCCGGAAGATCACTTAATCCATTACGTTACTGCAGTAAAAAGTAACGATCTATCGAAAGAACATGTGTCATCGGTGCTACTGAAAAAGTTTGGCGAAACTCTGATAGGGGGCGCATTGACATGGTATTCCCAACTACCAGCACGATTGATATCAACGTTCGAAGAAATGGCAGATAAGTTCGTCACCGCTCACGCGGGAGCAAAAAAGGTAGAGGCGAGGGTAAATGACATCTTCGCCGTCAGGCAGACGACATGCGAGGGACTTCGGGATTTCCTAGCCCGATTCAACAGGGTAAGAATGAGCCTACCAAACGTGTTAGAAGGGATGGCGGTAGCAGCCTTCCAAAATGGGTTAAACAGAAACGGGTCAAAAGCAACCAAAAAGCTGCTAAGTAGACTCATGAAGTACCCCCCACACACACACACCACCACGTGGGAAGAAATCTNCCATAATGCCTATTGTGCCGAAGTAAGGGCAAGTGAGGACGACTTGAATGGTTCGCTCTAATGACTAACGTCGGTCCAAACCGAAACAAGGAGAGATTGCCGCAACGACAGCCGAAGGGACCAACTACCCCGTTTCAATCGAGAAAGGCACCAGCCCTATATCCGAACATCCAACCCACCTCCTCCATGACATGCAGATGTCGCGCCTCGATATATCGCATCACCAAGAAACGAAAGAGGTCTCCACTGTTATCTGCTCATAACTTTTGTGTTTCTCCTTCAGAAATAGTGTATGCACTGGAAAAGCTCGGCACAAAGGTGCAGTGGCTGCAAAAGATGAAATCAGATCCGAGCACCCGGAGATCGAACGTTGTGTGTGAATTCCAATAGGAAAGGGGACACAAGACCGAAGACTGCATAGGTCTACGATAGGAAGTGGTAAGAATGCTAAACCAGGGACACTTGAAAGAACTGCTGAGCGATCGAGGACGGGTTAACTTCGCTCGTAGATGCGATCAACCTCAGGGACCTCCGAAACCACTGTCACCAGCTCGTACCATACAAATGATCATTGGCGGCAGCGACGATACAGTAATCAACCATGTGAAATTCACCACCACACACAAACTCAAACGGACAGCCGCCCACGAACGGTATGACGACCTCGAAGATAGTATCATCTTCGATAAGTCGGATACCAACGGTTTGTCTTTACCTCACTATGATGCTTTGGTTATATCTTTATGCATCGCAGATACCGATGTAAAGAGAATAATGGTGGATGACGGAAGCGGCGCGTGTATTATTTACCCACAAGTCCGCATACAGATGAGGCTCGAGGATAAAATAGTACTGCATTGCATAACACTAACGAGTTTTAATAATGCATTGGAATGAACCTCTAGAGAGATAGTGCTACCTGTTCTGGCAGGAGGAGTCACCCTAGAAACGACGTTCCACGTCATGAACCGGGAAACAGCCTACAACGCCATCATAGGGCATCCATGGATACACGCCATGCGAGCCGTCCCATCAAGTTTCTATCAAATAATCAAATTTCCTACTCAATGGGGGATATTCAACATCCGAGGCGAGTAGCGCACCACCCAAGAATGCTACCAAATCGCCCAAGATTGCACACACACCCAACAACTAAAGGGGGCAAGTACGGAAGCATAGCAATCAGTCATATCGGGAACCAAACCCGACATACAAATAGAGGCCATCAAAGATCCGGATGTCGTAGAAGCTTGCAAGGCAACCATAGAAGACCTCGACCCCGTTCAACTAGACAACACCGATAGCACGACAAAGGCTTATATCAGACATAACCTCTCAGAACCAGGTAAGTACCATGAGTTCTTAACTAACAATGCCGATTTGTTTGCCTTTTCCCATTCAGATATGCCAGGAATCCCAAGGGACATCGCCACACACAGGCTGAATGTCGACCATCTTTACCCGCCAGTACAGCAAATGAGGAGAAAGTTCAATGCCACCATCAATGAGGCGGTCAGCGAAGAAGTTGATAAGTTACTCGCTAATGGTTCCATCCAAGAATCAAAATATCCCCAATGGGTCGCCAATGTGGTCATGGTAAAAATGAAGAACGGGAAATGGCAGATATGTGTCGACTTCACCGACTTGAACAAAGCATGCCCGAAAGATTCATTTCCGTTACCACATATCGACTAGATCATTGATGCAACGGCGAGACACAAACTACTGAGCTTCTTAGACGCTTATTCTGGCTACAACCAAATTCTAATGGCTAAAGAAGACCAAGAAAAGACAACTTTCATCACTTACCGAGGAACGTACTGCTACAAAGTCATGTTGTTCGGACTCAAGAACGCAGGGGCGACGTATCAAAGGTTAGTCACCAAGATGTTCAAAGAACAACTCGGTAAGACCATGGAGGTTTACATCGACGACATGCTAGTGAAGTCAAAAAAGAAAGAGGATCTCATTGGTCATCTGAAGGAAGCCTTCGAGATATTGAGGCAATACGGAATGAAATTGAATCCCGAAAAATACTCCTTCGGCGTAACCTCATGAAAGTTCCTTGGTTTTCTGGTGTCACAAAGGGGTATCGAAGTCAACCCGGATCAGATCAGAGCCATCGAAGGAATACCGGAGACATTAACCAGCAAGAAGCAGGTGCAGAAATTAACAGGACGAATAGCCACCCTGTCGAGGTTTATTTCACGATCGTCGGACAGATGCCATAAATTCTTCAATGTGCTAAGGAAAGACCACGGACTACAGTGGAATTTAGAATGCGTCGACGCCTTGAGAAAGCTGAAAGTGTACCTATCCTTGCCACCACTACTCGTCAAGGCAGACCCGGGTAAATGCCTACTGGTGTACATAGCAGTCTCCGAAGT